CACGCAGACGTGCTCCTTCTTTACGTACCGGAACCAATCACTTTCCTTTGTAACTAAGTGAATAAAAATACAACCTAATTTTCCACTATTTTAGTAACGTCAGACCTTGTTTACTGTATTTTAGAAGCAATTTATCAGCGGGCAATCGCGGATGATGTATGACGGCTTAACGTATTTTATACATTAGTGTACCAGACGTCAACTCCAATTTATGTACAGTAGTGTGCGATGTACAATCTTTTGCTTAATACAAGCATTAAACCTGTTAACAATGAATAAAGATCGATTAGTTCATCCCACAGTACATAAAGGCGGCAAAGAAGCGCGGGAAATGGAGTGCCACACGATTGGGTTTGGTTAAAAATTACGGGAAAATAACAATATATTCCAAGAAACTTAGTTGTCAATCAATCGAAATAAACAACATGGATCGAACTCTGACCGTGATTGCGATAGTGAGAACCTCAGCCCGGGATCTGGTCAGAGGTTTTGAACTTTGTACTTCCTATTAAAACAGGAAGCGCGTTACCGGGAAGGTTTTAAAAAATATATTGTTTCGTGACTGAAAACAACAACAAATATTTGCATGTTTATCGTATTCAGAGCATTTGGGCGGTAAAAATCGCAACAAAAAAAAACATCTTAAAGTAATCTTGCCATGAGGATCCTTACATTGCCGCTTGATTTCCGACGAATTTTATCGCTTGACTACGTCTGGATTAAGCGGACGTTGGGAAGTTGTCCTCTTAATAGAGGTTTCACTGTAGTGTTTTTGCTTCGTTTGTATCGAGAGAAAGATGTTGAGTAGGAACGCGTGACGAACCCCTAAGTCTGCGTGGGAGGTTAGCCAATCTCACGGCCAGTTAATTTGCATTTTGTAATACAGTGAAGCCTCTATTAAGGGGATCCCCAGTTAAGCGGACACCCTCTATTGAGCGGACACTAAGCCGGGTCCCGAAAAAAACGTCTGATATTTCCCTCTATAACAAACCCCCCATTCAGGGGACACCTCTATTAAGGGGACGCGGACCCTAAAATACGTTGTATTTGGCTAATTTCTATTGTTAAAAACCTCTATTAAGCGGACACCGGACAGAATTGACAATTACGTCCTTGAAATACGTACTATAGTTAGTGTTTTTGCATTTACAAACAAATTAAAGTTGGTAATGAAAGGTAATGAACTTGAACTCTCGATAGCTTCCTTAACAAAATGCAACTTTATCACAGCACAGAGTAACCGTTGAATGTTGCAAACATTGCGCAATTTTTACAATCCTTATTAAGCGGACACCCTCTATTGAGCGGACACTTGGGAAGGTCCCGAAGGTGTCCACTTAATAGAGGTTTCACTTTTTAAGTAGGTTAAGTTGGCTATTTGCCCTGACATTGACTTCAGCATGACCAACAACACTAATCATTGTTTCTTTGAACAGTTCTAAGTTTTCTCCTCTTTCCGACCTGCTTTTGCGACCCCCGTGAAGCGAATAACGCATTTTCTTCCTGGACACCAAAATATTCCGAGTTCAGCTCGGTGTTTTGAACATACTGTAATACTACACCATGCATCCTCCTCAAAATGATCAGAGCGAAAGAGAATTGAATCTTTCACTGGCTGAGAATACTTGGCTGAAATACTTGGCTGAGACATTAGTTAACAATTCTTGCAAGGACAACTTGGACAAACAGCGGCGAGGGGCCTGGGGGCTGGTCGGTATTAATATTTGCGCCCGCAATCAATTTGGCAATTTTCAAAACAAAATGGCGGCACCCAGGAGGAAAGGTAAGGGTTTTATACTTTCCCGGAAACTCATGCGTTTTAGAGCATTTTTCTGATTATATGTTTCAACCATTATTTAGGGTATCGTCCAACCGAACGTGATTTAAATTCGCCATGGAGAAGGTAAGTTAAAGTCACAACATCATGTAGATCACAGCTCTGTGACTTCTCTTACTAGTAGCTGCCGGCCGTAGCTCTGAAAGTTTCATTTTTAAACTTAAAAATGAATTTCTCTTTTACTCGTTTAGTTGGGAAAACAACGATTCATGTACTTGTGATTTTATAAGATAATAATATATATATTTACGCATAAAATGAACAAAAAATGTACGTATAATCAATAGCTTCACTTTTCCTAGGAGTGCTCAATGCATAAAAATATGCAGAGCGAAATACAAATGAAAGCTACGCATAGAAAGCTATTATTTTTTTAGATTTTTCTCTCGCAAGCAGTTCGATGCTTGTTAAATGTAATGGTAAGATTTCCATACAACCCCATACATTTATTATAAATACAAAAATTTCATACTATTTCACATAAATAGTTAATATGAAAAGAGTCGAAACATGTGCCTTATTATAGGATATTGACGCTCCATGAAATTAACGCGAATCGTTAAAATTAGGTTAATTTAAGTCGCTTTAATTTTGTTGAGAGTTAATTTCAATGACGTTAATTAAGTGCAGTGTTAATTTCCGCGCCCTTAATTTCCAGTATTTTAACCCCAATTTTGGAACCTGTCCACACATTCTTGACACCTAAAAAACATTAACTACAAGCTGTCTTTCTTTCAATTTACCCTTTATTTTTAATCTTTCACAAAAGCTAAGGCGAAGGTTTACAATATTTCGAGTTCATCTTCGTCTCCAGTGTTGAAATAATTTGTTCCAGTTGTCACCACCAACTGTGTCTTAATCGCGTTAATTTCCTTTATTATGAAATTCTACCTCCTCTTTCGCGTTAACTTTCTTTCTTCGAAAGTCGTTTTCTATTAAATTTGCGTTAATTTAAGTCGCGTTAATTTCCAATACCTTAATTTCATGGAGCGTTAATTTCCTATAATAAGGTATGCAGAATGGGCTGCTGGTTGTTTAAAAACTTTCTTCATCAATTTTTATTCAGCAGGACGAGTAATCAACGGAAATCAACTCTTCTAGTCACAAGGCTCACCATTGTCTTTCACTGTTTATTCTTTCTGATAATTATAATTTTTGTCTGTCTCTTAGAAAATTTTATCAGAGATACTTCTGGTTTGAATTGCTAATAGGGTAAAGGGGCTCTGTCATGTTGGCTGGTTGATAATAGAGAGTTTGGAAATAGAGTAATTTTAATTTTCAGTGGACAGAAACCTTGTACTAGAATAATTTAAACAATATTGCCATTCTTTTTTATATTTTTCAAGGGCTAAAGATGTAATAAATCATCTGTAGTAACACCAAAGAAAATTTCTCATGGAAGTCCGAGAACATGAATGTCAAATTTCACAAGAATTGTGATTCCACAGGTAAAATTCTGAAAATCTCATGTGTAAGATGTAATTTTGTGAAATTTGACATTCATTTTCTCGGCTCCCATAGGAAATTTTTGGTGTTACTACAGATGATTTATTACATCTTTAGCCCTTGAAAAATGTAAGAAAGGATGCAATATGCTTTAAATCATCCTGGTACAAAGTTTTTGTCCACTGAAAATCAAAATTACTCAATGTCCTGGTGGATTCTGTCTTAAGCTTCATGTATATGGCAAATGGAAAACATCAGATTCAAGTTGAGAATTTCTCAAAATAGAAAATGAGCAGATAAAAACAGCTCAAAACAACAACAAGTTTTCAAAACCCACAATTGTGATCTGTTTCAATATTGTTCACATTTGCCCATCTGTTCTTCCTTTTGTATGTGTTATGTGTTTTCTTTGCTTTTCATGTTTTGACAAGTTATTTTTATGTTTCACTCGGTTTGGTGGCAGCTCCTCACTGTTTAAATTTTGATAAATTTCATAACGCAGCTCCTTTAACTCAGTGCATCATAATTTTTTACCTATTAGCCATGGGGTTCCAAATATAAATTTGTTTCAGTTAAAGTTTCTCCTGGTTAATTATGGTAAAGTTTAGAGTTACTCTGCAAACGAGCTACTGCAAAACTCAAATGCTTGTTCTAAAGAANTTTATATTATACCACAAAAAGACCATATTAAAACCTAAATTTTTTTTTCAAAAAAAAAATTTTTTCCTTTAATAATTGTTTTTTTGTTGTTTTTTTTTTTTTTTTTTTTTTGTCTTTTTGGTTTTTTTTCCTTTTGTTTTTTTTTTTTCCCCCCCGGGCGGAAAGGGGGGTGGGGGGGGGGGAGGGGACGCCACCCCGGTAAGTTTTTTTTTGAGTTTTTTCCTAGACGATAAAACATCAGCACCTGATGTTCTCAGTAGCTGTTTGTTCATCCCTTATGCACATTTTGAGACAAGTTTGGTGATGGTCAGTTGCTATGGTTATGAGATATGATGTCATAAGTAGCTGGTGGTCAAGCCATTTTTGGGCGAACATATGTTCTTGTAACTTCCTTCAACAATGAAAGTAAATCTTGTGGCTAAAATCATGCAAAGTGCTTATTTATGAGTTATTTTTTCATTTAAAGCTCAAAAAATTCCTATTTCTTGTGGTTTTAACCTGATTTCTAATTCTTGGTGAAATCCAAGAGGCCGGCCAAGATGGCAACCATTGTTGGTCACAGGCCTCCTGTAGCGCCATCACATGTAAAATATACTTCATCTTGTTAAGAATATCAAAGGCTAAATCCACTAAAGGTAAAATCGTCTCGAAATACTGCAACATATCAAAAACAATGGGGAGGGTTTCCATCCACCCCCCCCCCCCAACCCGTACCATGGTAGGGGTATGAATTTGCGTGTACGTCCAAGGGTCAGACAATAGCTTAAACAGCATACCATAATTTATTTTATTAAATACCCAACATTGAATTAACACCCACCTCAAATAAGTACTCATTCTCGGAGAGGGAAAGTTAATAGGTCCCAGCCTCAATTAAATGCCCAACCCCCACCCCCACCCATTACCCTCACTTCTACCAAAAAGACTAAAATGGACAAGAAGCGTATTGGTTGTCATTTCTTTACTGCCCCATCTGCTTCTCATTGACTGACCCATTTGCAGTGGTTACACTGTGAGACATTATGACGGAACATCAGAGAGTTCGCTTATAGAAATTGACTACTGTAGGTACAGTACCTCGTATAGATCCCTGAAGTCCGATTGTTTAGTCTTTTTGTTTAAACAAACTTTCAATGAACAGTTAACAGTTAACAGTCATTTTGAAATGTTACACTCTCTTTTGCATTAATTTCCTTTATCTGAAAGTCATTTTCCATGAAGGTGACTCGACCCAGTTTTTTGGGGGGGCTACCATCCTACTTTGAAGCTCTCTGGTATCCCCACCTTTACTTTTATCGTAAGTCTAACACATAGAATAGATAACATATAGATCAATCTACAATATAACATAGGAAAGGTAAGGGTTTTATACTTTCCCGGAAACTCATGCGTTTTAGAGCATTTTTCTGATTATATGTTTCAACCATTATTTAGGGTATCGTCCAACCGAACGTGATTTGAATTCGCCATGGAGAAGGTAAGTTAAAGTCACAACATCATGTAGATCACAGCTCTGTGACTTCTCTTACTAGTAGCTGCCGGCCGTAGCTCTGAAAGTTTCGTTTTAAACTTAAAAATGAATTTCTCTTTTACTCGTTTAGGTGGGAAAACAACGATTCATGTACTTGTGATTTTATAAGATAATAATATATATTTACGCATAAAATGAACAAAAACTCTACGTATAATCAATAGCTTCACTTTTTCTAGGAGTGCTCAACGCATAAAAATATGCAGAGCGAAATACAAATGAAAGCGACGCATAGAAAGCTATTATTTTTTTAGATTTTTCTCTCGCAAGCAGTTCGATGCTTGTTAAATGTAACGGTAAGATTTCCGTACAAGCCCATACATTTATTATAAATACAAAAATTTCATACTATTTCACATAAATAGTTAATATGAAAAGAGTCGAAACATGTACCTTATTATAGGATATTAACACTCCATCAAATTAACGCGAATCGTTAAAATTCCCGTTAATTTAAGTCGCTTTAATTTTGTTGAGAGTTAATTTCAACGACGTTAATTAAGTGCAGCGTTAATTTGCGTGCCCTTAATTTCCAGTATTTTAACCCCAATTTTGGAACCTGTCCAGACATTCTTGACACCTGAAAAACATTAACTACAAGCTGTCTTTCTTTCTATTTACCCTTTATTTTTAATCTTTCACAAAAGCGAAGGCAAAGGTTTACAATATTTCGAGCTCATCTTTGTCTCCAGTGTTGAAATAAATTTGTTCCAGTTGTCACCACCAACTGTGTCTTAATCGCGTTAATTTCCTTTATTATGAAATTCTACCTCCTCTTTCGCGTTAATTTTCTTTATTCGAAAGTCGTTTTCTATTAAATTCGCGTTAATTTAAGTCGCGTTAATTTCCAATACCTTAATTTCATGGAGCGTTAATTTCCTATAATAAGGTATGCAGAATGGGCTGCTAGTTGTTTAAAAACTCTCTTCATCAATTTTTATTCAGCAGGGCAAGTAATCAACCGAAATCAACTCTTCTAGTCACAAGGCTCACCATTGTCTTTCACTGTTTATTCTTTCTGATAATTATAATTTTTGTCTGTCTCTTAGAAAATTTTATCAGAGATACTTCTGGTTTGAATTGCTAATATGGTAAAGGGGCTCTGTCATGTTGGCTGGTTGATAATAGAGAGTTTGAAAATAGAGTAATTTTAATTTTCAGTGGACAAAAACCTTGTACTAGAATAATTTAAACAATATTGCCATTCTTTTTTTGTATTTTTCAAGGGCTTAAGATGTAATAAATCATCTGTAGTAACACCAAAGAAAATTTCTCGTGGAAGTCCGAGAACATGAATGTCAAATTTCACAAGAATTGTGATTCCACAGGTAAAATTCTGAAAATCTTATGTGTAAGATGTAATTTTGTGAAATTTGACATTCATTTTCTCGGCTCCCATAGGAAATTTTTTTGGTGTTACTACAGATGATTTATTACATCTTTAGCCCTTGAAAAATGTAAGAAAGGATGCAATATGCTTTAAATCATCCTGGTACAAGATTTTTGTCCACTGAAAATCAAAATTACTCAATGTCCTGGTGGATTCTGTCTTAAGCTTCATGTATACGGCAAATGGCAAACATCAGATTCAAGTTGAGAATTTCTCAAAATAGAAAATGAGCAGATAAAAACAGCTCAAAACAACAACAAGTTTTCAAAACCCACAATTGTGATCTGTTTCAATATTGTTCACATTTGCCCATCTGTTCTTCCTTTTGTATGTGTTATGTGTTTTCTTTGCTTTTCATGTTTTGACAAGTTATTTTTATGTTTCACTCGGTTTGGTGGCAGCTACTCACTGTTTAAATTTTGATAAATTTCATAATGCAGCTCCTTTAACTCAGTGCATCATAATTTATTACCTATTAGCCATGGGGTTCCAAATATAAATTTGTTTCAGTTAAAGTTTCTCCTGGTTAATTGTGGTAAAGTTTAGAGTTACTCTGCAAACGAGCTGCTGCAAAACTCAAATGCTTGTTCTAAAGAACAATATATTCCATTAATAATGACTGTTTAGTAGCAGAATTGTTGTATTTACATTTGATCTTTGTGATCTTCTCTCCTTTGTCTGTCATTCTTAACCCTCGGACGTACAAGGGTTTGGGGGGGGGAGTGGACACCACCCCGGTAAGTTTTTTTTTTAGTTTTTTCCTAGAGGATAAAACATCAGCACCTGATGTTCTCAGTAGCTTTTTGTTCATCCCTTATACACATTTTGAGACAAGTTTGGTGATGGTCAGTTGCTATGGTTATGAGATATGATGTCATAAGTAGCTGGTGGTCAAGCCATTTTTGGGCGAAAATATGTTCTTTTAACTTCTTTCAACAATGAAAGTAAATCTTGTGGCTAAAATCATGCAAAGTGCTTATTTATGAGTTATTTTTTCATTTAAAGCTCAAAAAATTACTATTTCTTGTGGTTTTAACCTGATTTCTAATTCTTGGTAAAATCCAAGAGGCAGGCCAAGATGGCGACCATTGTTGGTCACAGGCCTCCAGTAGCGCCATCACCTGTAAAATATACTTCATCTTGTTAAGAAGATCAAAGGCTAAATCCACTAAAGGTAAAATCATCTCGAAATACTGCAACATATCAAAAACAATGGGGAGGGTTTCCATCCCCCCCCCCCCCCCCCACCCCGTACCATGGTAGGGGTATGAATTTGCGTGTACGTCCAAGGGTCAGACAATAGCTTAAACAGCATACCATAATTTATTTTATTAAACACCCAACATTGAATTAACACCAACCTCAAATAAGTACTCATTCTCGGAGAGGGAAAGTTAATAGGTCCCAGCCTCAATTAAATGCCCAACCCCCACCCCCACCCATTACCCTCACTTCTACCAAAAAGACTAAAATGGACAAGAAGCGTATTGGTTGTCATTTCTTTACTGCCCCATCTGCTTCTCATTGACTGACCCATTTGCAGTGGTTACACTGTGAGACATTACAACGGAACATCAGAGAGTTTGCTTATAGAAATTGACTACTGTAGGTACAGTACCTCGTATAGATCCCTGAAGTCCGATTGTTTAGTCTTTTTATTTAAACAAACTTTCAATGAACAGTTAACAGTTAACAGTCATTTTGAAATGTTACACTCTCTTTTGCATTAATTTCCTTTATCTGAAAGTCATTTTCCATTAAATTCACATTAATTTAAGTTGCGTTAACTTCCAATCTACTTTAATTTCCTAGAGCAATAATTTCCTGTAATTAGGTACATCTCTTGCTCCTTTTCTAGATCTTATTCTCCAGCATCAACACTTGTGAATGGCAATGCATACTCACCACACATGCCACGCAAGAGAGAATCATCTGCATCACCAATCGACCAAGAGTACAAGAAGAATGTAGATTTTTTGAAAAGAGGTGGGTACTGTAGAATGCAGGTCTTGCTATGTGAATGCAAGGACATATTCAGGGAAGACTTCAAGGGGGCTTTACGGGCCCTCTCTCTTGTTGTATAAAATGATGGATCTGTTGAGTTTTCAAATGTCAATGAAAATATACCATGGCTGTTCTATTGTTGGTTTTCACATGACATCACTAAAATTCAAACTAAAAAACCATTGATCCTACAGAGATTTTACTTTCACAATGCATTAGACCAGCTGAAAACTAATTTTCATACAAATTTTCGCTTCAAAAGGGTTCTTGGTTTTGTGATAGAGTAAGCTTGAATTTCTAAGCTTTTGCGTGACTTGGCATTTACATGACAGCCAAGAGGGCTGTCATGTAGGTTAAAAAAATGACTTTTTTCAGGAAATTTTGCTATCTAAACAGTTCGTGTATAGAAAAAGTATTACTTTCATGTTTATGAGTTTCTCGAAGAATAAATTCACTCTTTTTTAGCAAAACTCGGTAACAGATGTTTCTGTTGGTTTCCGTCAGCCACGTTGGAACTCATCCAGGTGAGCACCAGCATGGCGTCTCCATACAAATCTCTATAGGTTTGGGTAAAACATTTCTTCGGATAATTATCTCGTATACGAAATAATCCTCTGACCTGAAACTTGGCGAGAGTCTTTGTATATTATTGTATACCTCCTTTCAGATTCTGGACTTTATCTATTGAACGGTTTTGATTTTGATTTTGATCTATTTTGAATAGCGTGACACTGAAAACCAGCAATAGTAAGACACCTGAAAAAATGTTTAACAAGAGTCCATTTGCCAATCACAGTGCACTGTAAGGCTGCAAAGTTACTGCAGGTTAGCAAGGAATTATCATTTCCAATGTTGCAGATCTGCCCACCCCTTCAAAGTGATGGGTATGCCACTGAACATATAATGACATAGCCTGTCCTGGTCCTTAAGCAAATACAATGTAGCAGTGATAAAGTCACCATAAGTAAAAAATTTGAGGTGAACTTTATCATTCCAACTTAGGGTGTGTTGGTTGATCATATTCCGGAATAAGAATATGAAAAAGTTTGGTTACAAAGCTCTTCTTCTGTGTTTTTTGGACTATTTAAACTCTACATTCATTAAAATACCGTAAAATTCTGAAAATAAGCCCCGGGGCTTATAGTTTTCAAAGGCCCTTTTTGAGGGGCTTATATTTCATGGGGCTTATCTACGGAGGGAAATTTGCATTTCAAAATCGATTGGGCTAGCCTTCTATATAGTTGGAAGGAAATTTACCGTTTTTGCTTTGTTTTACTTTGTATTTGAGGGGAATTTCCAAGTACAAGCTCCCGGGGGGTAAGGGGCTTATATTTGGAGGGGCAATTTAATGGAGGATTTTTTGCGTTGTGAGTTTGGGGGGCTTACATTTGGAGGGGCTTATACATGGAGGGGCTTTTTTTCGGAATTTTGCCTTATTTTATTTCAAAGAAATTTACATTTATTGGAGTCCAATGAGTGCCAAAACAAGTGATTTCTACAGTTTATTTCATTTAATATTCTTATTCCGGACTACAGTCAATCATTCGTACCCTTAGTCAATTTGTCTTGAAGGTAGTCAAATGTTCTTGGAGTGGACATTGAAAAAAAAACTTCTTAATGGTGTGTTGGAGTAAATTGAAAAATAAATCGCTAGAAAATTTCATATCTCATAATTATGCAGCAAATGGAAAAGAAATATACAGAGTAGTTTTCGTTGCATATTTTTTAGCTTTCTAGGTTCCTGCTTTCAAAAGAGTCTTATTTGTGGCTCTGCCCTTCAGTACAAACTGTTGTTCCTATTTTCAGTTCACCCTGCAGGGATCAAAATATTGTCAACTGCAGTTACATTTTGAGGGAGGTGTGGTTTAGTCAGTTTATAGTACATGTAATATAATAATTATTGTGTTTTCTCAAAAGATGTTGCCACAGGTGAATTAAGTTTTATCAGGATTTATTTGTAATTAAATCTTATTTCCTCCAGAATGGGCAAAATTGGAGGCAGAAAGGAATAGACAGAAAGGTATGAATGCAGCAAAATTACAGTACATGTACAACATTAAATAGCTCCTCATGGTTGGCCTCCAGCCAGTTGGGATTGTTAACCTTGTTGGCCACAATGGGAAAATAGAAAGTCAGTTTTCTTTTTAACATTCCTCATGGTTCACAACAACAAAAATGAAAGGACTACATCAAAACTCAAAACATAATCCTAAATTTGCAGTTAGAATTTCCAACTATTTGTATTTTACAATCTACTCTAAATGTCAGATCCTGAGGGAAACAGTTTGGTTTGTTTTCCTGAGAGTCCTGGGACTCAAGGGAAAAAAAACTGGGACCTAGCATTAAGTGTTTTGTTATATTTCTAGACTTTGCCTTCAACAGCAACAAAAGAATAACTGGAGCAAATCAAAACAGTTGACTCAGTTCTTATAAGAACACAAATTTAGTTCTCAAAACCACTGACTGAATGTTTTACAAAGTACCTTTCCTTATTTTATCTGCATCTTTTTCCTCCACTAGCTGCTGTTTCTCTTTTAGGGATAGCTTTGAAAATCTTTGCATTTTAGCTTGAGGCTTCATGTTTGTGTTGTGGACTCTCATTGTGTTCATCCCTGAAGGTGAAAACTAGCAGTGTTTTTCCCACGTTCTGTCACGCCACTTTCCACCATGCTTTGATCTTGTTGTACATAATGTATCCCAAGTGGGGTACAATTACGATCAGGATATATTTGATTTTAGTCAAGGCCATGTGACCAAGAATCAACCAAGGGCAGTCCCTGTTTAGTTGAGTGAAAGTCTAGGAATATAACAATATCAGTTAAACTCATCACCAATAGATGAGCTTGGGCAGTGATGCCTAAAAGGTTGGTGGAGCTGAAATCTGATCTAGCATGAGGAAGGAGGTATTCATGGCAACTCTTGAGGGGCCCCCATCAGGCACTGTCACACTGAATTCTTCAGTGGAGTACTTACCGACTAGTATTTACTTACTGTTCATTATATAAGTTTGTCTTTATTGTTATTATTATTATTATTATTATTATTATTATTTCTTCTTCTTCTTTTATTATTATTAGAAGTTGATTTCTGTCAGAATCAGAAACGCTTCAAACTTCCAATCGTTAGGTCTCAATGCACTTGCTCCACTCTGTCTCTCTTTAAACCTCTCGACAATAGATGGTTGTGGGGAAGGTGCCTGGTGAAACTGAGAGGAGCTGCAAGGGAGCCTTGAAGGTAACCATGACAACCCTGTAAGTGGCATCACCAGGCACCATCACACCTCAGTGGAGAAATCTGCAGACACTTACCAGAAAACATCCAAAGGAAAGGGAGGGCTGGGAACAAAAACAGCTGAAGCTACTGCAAGCAAAAGCAACGTGAGCGAAAGCGCTGTAAAATTACTAAAGCCGTGCTAAAGCCCAACACCACCCCGGGTACGATTAGTGATGGAGACTGTTGGCCAGGATTGTCTCCTGTTTAACCTCACCTAAATTACATTTGGCCTTTGGTGTAGATGGATATACACTGATGACAAACTGCTGGCTTAGCTTGTCAATGGACTAGCGTCCCATTCAGGGATGAGTGGCATAACTTCATGTGACCAAAACTTGGTTAGGCATTGGTCATGTGGGCCTCATGGCTTACACTCCCCGTTACATTAACACTGTAACTTTTATTTGTACCCTTTACCTTAAGTCATGCATCAAAATAAATGATCCATTCAAACATACTGTATACATGAAATTTTTATGCCCTGGCAGGGTTAAACCTGCACATTAAAGAACAGAGAACCAATTACATGTAAGAGAATTCTAGTTGAAGTATATTGCACTTTCAAGCCTGGAATCAATAACAAACTGTGGGTAAATAAGTAGAAATAAAATTATTCTTACCTATTACATGAAATGATGGCATTTTTTTCTTCATTTGTAGAGACAGTAACGGAATATGCTCCACGAGAAATGGTTGTGCAAGGTATGTTTAAATTCTGAAGTGTTATGGGCTGTATTTGCACCTGACCTCTGTGCATATTTAATGCTTCCCTTTAGAATTGGGAACGTTTCCAAGGTTCCTGAAATAGCGGTTCTAATTGGTCCAACNGGCATAACTTCATGTGACCAAAACTTGGTTAGGCATTGGTCATGTGGGCCTCATGGCTTACACTCCCCGTTACATTAACACTGTAACTTTTATTTGTACCCTTTACCTTAAGTCATGCATCAAAATAAATGATCCATTCAAACATACTGTATACATGAAATTTTTATGCCCTGGCAGGGTTAAACCTGCACATTAAAGAACAGAGAACCAATCACATGTAAGAGAATTCTAGTTGAAGTATATTGCACTTTCAAGCCTGGAATCAATAACAAACTGTGGGTAAATAAGTAGAAATAAAATTATTCTTACCTATTACATGAAATGATGGCATTTTTTTCTTCATTTGTAGAGACAGTAACGGAATATGCTCCACGGGAAATGGTTGTGCAAGGTATGTTTAAATTCTGAAGTGTTATGGGCTGTATTTGCACCTGACCTCTGTGCATATTTAATGCTTCCCTTTAGAATTGGGAACGTTTCCAAGGTTCCTGAAATAGCGGTTCTAATTGGTCCAACTATAAATGCAATTCTTATTACCCATAGAAGACTAAAAACATTAACAACAATTAATATTATTATTATTGTTGTTGTTGTTGTTGTTGTTGTTAATATTACATTTCAATGATAAACGTGTGTTTGAAGATGAAGAATTGTGGACATGCTGCCCCATTTTGAAAGTGAATTATCCTGGAGGGGAGCTTTAAAAATGTGGGCTCTAAGGTCATGGGGAGGGAACCTCCCTTTTTTTACACCAAAAAGGAGGCGTGAAGGTCTGGATCTGCCACTGATTTGGTTCATTTGTTCATTTGCTGTACAACTCCCACCCATGTCGAGTACTTCAGTGTTAATGGTTTTAGGCCATTTCTCTTCCATCTTTCTTGATAGTAAAGGATTTTGTGTCTTGCTCATGCTTGCAATAATTGATCATAAATTATGATCATGCCCATAGCCATTCTTTTGGTACAGACATAAAGATCTGCGATTGCCCATAGCGCAGGCAGCTAGAAGGGAATATTTGTGGTGACATTTTTCTGAACAAGCGCTTTTTGTTTATCTTAATGTTTAAGTTAAATCTGCAATGGCAGAGTCAGTCAGGGATGCTGTAGGAAATCTGAACTGTAAGCAAAAGCGTCAAGTTTTTTTTGTGAAACTCAAACTTCAGTTCAACTTTATTAGAAAAATATTTGCAATTTCAACACAAGAGACCGGTCTGCTTTAAGCGTTACAATTTGCTAATCTGCATTAGGCTGTCATGATTTCACTGTGATTGGTCATAACACAAGAAACATTCCTAAAACATCGTTTTTGCTTTTCATGGTTTTTATAGATCGTTTTCACTCGCGTGGACAGTACCTTTTAAATAAGGGCTGAAGATTCAATTCCCACAGGTCTGGTTTGGGACACCAACATGGCCACCGTTCCATTGTTTTGGAACACCAATATGGCCGCCGTGGCGTCATGTAAAAACACTCTATTAGTTGGACTGAAGACTGCGGTGAAAAGTAATGTGACTGCGTGTATTTTTTCCATTTTTTTTTCAGATTTTCAGCCATTTGATTTGGATTCATTCCTTGAAAGTCTTCACCAGCGCCAGCAACAAGAGCAACAGGATCAATAGCGCACAAAATAACAATAGTCAGAAGTTGACATTTTATGAAATGTAGTAGATATTGCCTCAGATACATGAAGAAACCATGCAGTATTTAAAGTTTCCATATTGAGCTGAGTACAGTCTTGTGTTAAGTGGACATAGCGAGGCTCAAGCGTAATATGTACGGCAAGATGCTTGACAAGCGTAAACTTTATTACTTTACACCAGGGGTAAATTTAATAAAACTTTTACAAGTGTAATTTACAATTTGTCTTTAGGGTCCGAAAACAATAGCTACGCTTGTAAATTAGACTTGTGAAAGTTTTATTTAATTGACCCCAGGTCTCATATTATGAACTGCAGTTAAGGTAGTACTTGTAGTTACTAGAACAAACACCCATTTCTCACTAACTTGACCACGCCTGGTGTTATTTAAAGAACTATAATCAGCATAAGGTGATTTTTTGTTTGTTCTGCTCTGATCCAAGATCTGATTTGCTCTTTTGTGTCATTATTATTAGATACCTTTAGATTCGAGAACGACAACGACTGCGAGGACGAGAATTAACTTAAGGTTTTTGCGCATTCTCATAAAATAGACACCCCGAAAAGCTCTGTTGTACTCTTGAAACGTTATCACAGTGATTCTCCCGATCGCGCAAAGTAGTATTAGTTGTAACATTTAATAAGTTGTGTCCACCACTACGACATTTTCGCTAAAAACCGTATTAGAATGCCTACGGCTATCACGTTTTCCCGCCAAAATGACAGTGGCACACGTGCGCGCACTACTTAATATTGTAGAAATCTCGTTCTCTTAATCGTCCTCATCTGAGAATCTAAAGGTCTTCTTGTCCTTTACTCTTCACCTAAGGAAAACTACCGTAAACGTCCGATTATAAGCCCTGGACTTATACAACTTCGTAAGGGGTTTCTGGAGGGTTTATAAACGGAGGAGCTTACCGTAAAATCCCACTTCAAAGCCCTCCGGATATAAGCCCATCCATTTTCTAACGAAGATATTATCCTGGGTATACCCCCCCTGTTTATAAGCCCATCTAGTGTATACGTGCGTTCCTTTTGCGTTTCTCTACAAACATCAAAATTTGTGTTTTATAGATGTTATTGAAATAAATTCTCCGTTCATTGTGACGCACAGTAAATGTATTATAAATGTAACTCTTAATGTAATGTTATGTTTGCTTTAATTCGTTTCTCAGATAAGTTTTATCTCGTCGTTCCGAAACATTTTTTGTTATTCCGCTTATATGCCCCCGGGTATAAGCCCCCTCCCCGCACGTTTATTAGCCCACCCAAAACCCTTTATCAAGTTAGATAAGCCCAGGGCTTTAGAGTGGGATTTTACGGTATTCGGGAGGCCTTACAGCCGGACTAAAAAAAAGTGTTTCAAAACAAGCTACATAGCAGTAATGATCAAAATACTTCTGGAATTTGATCGCTTTTTTAAGCTTCAAAACGTCGTAAAAAGTCGAATTCATTTCAATACAATCTAGAGGGGTGCTTATATTCAGGGGGGAGGGGGGAGGGGAGCTTATAACCAGATGTATTAATTTCTTTAGAGGTAGATGGGCCCATTAATTGGGGTGGGTTGTGGGGGAGACTTATAATCGGAAATTTAAGGGTACTTCCTCGCTCCGCTCTTAATTGACTAAAAAACACAACATTGCAAGATAGCAAAGCAAATTACGTCTATTGGCCTCATCCATTAAGCCTCAGTGGTGAGAAGTTTCAATTTCTCCTCACCGTATCGGGGCATAATCCATACATTTCCGGAAATCCATATATTATACATTTCGTGGTAAACTTACAATTTTCTTCTGACTGTGTAGGTCTTGCGTTGGGAATCCCATAATACACAAACTGGGCGCAGTTGCTCGGTGGTCGGTTTTCGGTAAGCCAGGGTTTACTATTAATGTGGATAAAACATAGGCCCTGTCTCACAACCCTTGCATATCATGATAGATTTTTTTGGACGTTAAGGTGCTCATTCGATACAGTTTTTCGGAGACTATACCAATATTTTTTAATCGCCTGAAAAGTGATTTTACCCGCCTTGTCCGACGATCGCTATGAAATTTTTACCACTGACTTACTTTAGATTGAAGTTTGTCAAAATGCAGTTTTAAGTAAAATCGATATCGAGCTACTATGGCGACAATCAACAAAAAACTTCGAAATCGATAAAAGCCGAATTTTGCGCGCTCTAGACCCTCTACCGAAAATCCGTTTCCAGGAACTGCTTAAATTGTGATGTTTAGCAAAATAACCTCCGTGAAAAGAAAAAAAATTTCAAATACAACGTAAACATATTTCAAAGCTCAGAAGCAGTTCGAGATCGCGTAAAATTCGGCTTTTATCGATTTCAAAGTTGTTTGTTGATATCGATTTACTTAAAAGTGTATTTTGACAAACTTCAATCCAAAGTAAGTCAGTGGTAAAAATTTCATGGCGATCGGACAAGGATAAAATCACTTTAACGAAGATTAAAAAAATATCGTTGTGGTCTCCGAAGAACTGTATCGAACACCTTATAGAGCCCACACACTGTTCTCAAATAGACCCCTCCACGGTTTTTTCAGTCAACTTTTGACATGAACAGTCAAGGGAAAATCCGTCAACTTCGCTGGAAAGAGCGTCTTTAAATTAGTAAGACTATTAAGTTTGAAAGTCATTTGTTGAAAAATGATGACGATATAGCTTCCAAAAGTCGCGTAATTGGGGACGCAAACTTGCCCCCCTCCCTCTTCCCACCATACACACGTCTGCAAATGTTCGCAAGTTTGCTAAGCTATATCTTCGCTAAATTTAAACATGTCACTTTCAAACTCGGGAATTCTACTAATATAAAGGCGCTCTTTTCATTGGTGTCGACGGATTTCCTTAACTTTTCCATGTCAAGAATTGAAAAAACCGTGAAAGGGTCTATTCACACTGACATAAAGGACGTCATGAAGCACTTCTTTGTTACTTGAGCTTAGAATAAAAAGTCCAAAAAAAGATAGAGATTCCTCTAATACTGGCTTGTGTTGGTAACGTGCTATATGAATGTCTTGGATGATATGCCATTTTTGAAGAATTGTTACTCCATAAGGATCTTCAAATCCCTAAATAAAGTTTATACTTTCCTGAACTACGATACAACTGACAAGAGAGGGAGGGATTACCCTATAAAGCGCGATCGTCAGAAGTTTTAAGAACAGTTGAATGCAGGGAAGGCGCTTAAGACAGCATTTAAATACTGAAACAAAACAGTCATCAAACTATTACTTCTTGTAGTGTTTAGAAAGGGCGTGGCCTTTCTATAAGCTGATGCCAGCTTGAAAATAACAAGTGAGCAGCATAATAAGGCTGTCGGGCAATCAAGAAAAGGCTCACTTAAAATATCACAAGGGGAGTGTCTTCATCAAAGCCAGCCTGGTAAAAAACCCAATCTTCTTCCGTTCCTTCTTTCAACCCAAATTTAAAATATTTCGATTTGCTCCGGTTAAGCGAGAATATAAGTTTGTTCTTCGATCGAGGACAATCCATTTAGTTTATCCGATTTAAAACATACCTTCAGATTTCTTTGCTTTTCTTAACCCCGTGGTACAGCAAAAAGGGTCTAAGCTATGATTATGGATGTTTAAAATTCTTCGATTCCCTTTCTTCTCTTTGAATAACTCTTTCTTTTCTTTCTTCGCTTAATATAATACTCTTCTTCTTTCTTTCTTTTAATATTCCATGAAATGCGTAGGCTAAGTTTATGGCAGCAACAATAATTTAAGAGCTTCCATTTTTATTTAATAGTCGGGCTGTAAGTAAGGTGGCTCCAATTTCACTTTAAGTACTTTTTAGTCAGTGACATTTCTGGTATTAAATGCATGAAAGGACAGTAAAGGGGTCGGCTGTCAGAGCCGAGAAGATATCTAATGAAACGAAAAGTGCATTACGTTCTCTAGATGTTTTTC